CTGTCGATGTATTTACGACATTTACACACGGCTGAGTTGTTCGGTATAGTCGTGGGGATGATAAAAAGGTCTCTTGAGGGAGGACGTAACGTGAAATTAGAGATTACTAGATAGGGGATGATAAAATTAAATGGAAGTTCAAAGCTGAGTTTTCTCCAGGTTTTATATAAAAAAAAGAAGTCTTCTAACAAAGACCAAAATAAGAGAATTCTGCTTACGAAATAGCGTGGGACGGTCGAACGACGATTCGCTTTGTAATTGCATACGATAGACGGTCTTCGTGTGTCCCGTGGTATCGGCGACGGCGCGCGACAATCGCCGTCTCCGAAGAGTTCGGTCGACTCTCCCGAGACAGGTTTCCCTTTTGGATACTATGAACGAGAGGAGACTCGTCCTGAGAACGACGTAGTAGTAACACGAAAAAAGTGTGGGTCCTTTTTCCCCCTACGGGTTCGGTAGGCAGGAAAGGCGGGATAGGTTGTCACGCGCCGCAAATAGGTCGCTTCTTTGCTGTTGTTCCGAAAGTGATCGTGAAGTGTGGCAGTTGTCTAGGTGGACCATTGGAAGACACGCAACACTATCACCGTTTCAAGTTTAGGCTGACTCCTGCTCCATTGCCTTGCTTGACCCTGCAAAGTTTCTTGCACAATCACTATGTGTCTGTCGCCAATTGTCATACTCCTCTTCTGTAATCTTTTGCTCTTGCTTGGCATTTCCCTTTAGAGCACAAGCATGGCAATAGGATGATAGGATTTCATAGTCTATCACCAATACAGTAAGGATGTCAATGCACACACCGATCCCATAATGGGATGTGAAGCCTCGCTTTTGCCATGTGCCATCAAATGACACGCTGATGTTTATAACTGCCTCTGCATCCTCCCTCAGCAACTCTGCAACATCTGGGTCCACATCTGCATAAGCCTGCCTGACCTGCTCCCTTGTCCTGTGAAGTGACTCCAGGCCTCTCTCTATTTCTGCCACTAATAAGAGAAAAAAATAAGTCAACTGAATGTCCTGATAAGTTATACTCTGAATTCAATAGTTCAAGTTTTCTTGGTCTCAATCCTGTTTCTATACCTGTCACTCTCTTGTCATGTCTCTGATAGGTTTTGAGATGAAGTGCAGGAATCCCCAACACTTTGCTTATTTTCTTCAGAGCTGCATAGCCCAAGCCTAACTCGTGCGCTAAGAGCACCATTCTCACATTCACATCAAAAGCAACATCCTTCCTGGTTTCGTCTTGAAGACGTGTAGATGTGTACACACTTTTGCGGTACCCACCATCACACAGACTGCACTCTAAAATTAAGCTGCTACAGAAACCATGGTTTTGCGGATCAATGTTAACTTTGAGCCCTGTCCCTGCGCAATTTGGGCAAATCAACCCACTGAGCAGTTCATTCAGCCGCGCTACATGTATTATCAGCCACTGCTGTGTGGCGCTATCTAAACCCTCCTGCTCTTTGGGTGACAGCTTGCGCATTGACGCACTAAGTGAAGGTTTTTCAGGTTCGGGGTCATTTGTTTTGTCTTCTACCTTGCTACGTGCAAGTGACAATTGTTGTCCTCTTCTCTTTGAACGATTTTTTCGCGGATGTTTCGGCATTTTGAGATTTAAATTTTCAGCGCAAATATAAACAAGGAAGTGTCATGGCGCACCACGTGACGCACCTGAACGAATCACGTTGTCAGAAATTGACACCAGCCAATAAGATTCCGTTCTTTGGTCAGATGACCCCTTTGTACTTTCACGATTGGTTGCTGATACAAAGGAAATGACCATATTTGGATCCGATGAGATTGTGCAGGAGAACCTGAGCTTTCCAACGGTACCTCTCATGACATGGAGGAAACAGCGGTCACGGCACTTTATGTTATGTTAGATTGCTAACTTTTGGTGAATTTAGGAGAAATCTACTGACGGAAATAGAAAAAACTATAGTAAAATAAACACCTAAATGTGTATTTTGTACGTTTTCCTTCCAAAAGCCTGAAAGAAAACATCTTATTGAATCAAAATAGCACAAAATCTCAAAATTGACATGGGCATGAAAAACGATGTTTTTGCCTGCCGTGTCTCGCCACTCCTCACTCTCACACACACACTCCGCCAGCTCTCCTGTAGTATTCCTCTAGGAACCTCCCTCTTCGACACCCAACCAATCAGACGACACTCTCTCAGTCACCGCACAGCCATAAGTCACAAGAACTGTCTATCAAACAGTGACACGTTCGCTGACATTCTGTAAAATGTAAATAAACTCTGAACAGTAAAACACATGAAAACATCAACATTACAACCAATCTTTACAATACATTATTAAGTTTAAATGGGGTTACCACACATACTAATTTTAACAATAAATATTATTTTGGCGGAAAAATTAGCTTCTACATGATCTTTTCTTTCGGACCTCTCACGTCATCATTAGTTTTCAGTAAGCAAACGCTGTTAACGCGCCATGTTGAGATTGCTAATTTTTTTCGGAGAACACACATGCATACAAAACAAGTCAGTTTTATCTTAGCTATAGCCATAATGGACTGCAAAAAAAGGTAAAGGAGGGGCGGAGAAGGCCAGTTTAAAACGAAAAATAAACTTGACAAGCAGTGCACTACATTGTGCTAAACTTAGAGATATGTTTTCACCAGCTATCAAGCTAACATTGGATAACGTTAACGTACGTGAGGAGAGAGGGAGGTTGTGACATAAGGACTGTGAAAGGGATGTAACAGACCAAGCAACCAAGGGTGAATATGGGACCGATATGCATGATGATGGCGTGACCACTGACAAAGGGACAGATATGGAAATGTTCAACTTGGATTTGAGAGGAGGCACTAACATTACGTCTCGGGATGGATTGCTTAGCCTGCAGCAGTCCGAACTGGAAAACGTTGATTCGCAACCAGGCCCATCAAATGGACAGTGCAGTCAAAGCTTAATGTTTCAAAAGCCTGGTAAAGGTAAGCTGGATTTTTTTCTTCAACCACCATCCATTACATATATCCACTGACATGGTCGTTAACAAGGCTTTTCAGAGGAATAATGGGACTACTCGGCGTGGGCCAATGGAACTCATAATTTCTCGGTAAAACTAAGTGTCCCAATCCGACCCTGCTGACTGACACTGTTCATTGTTAATACGCCGGGTGGCCATTAGAAACCACCATACCTACCATTCCCTTTAGCTTCTGCCAGTTCGTCTTCCGCCTTTAGTCTGAGAGATAGATCCTGATATCTATACACATATGCCTATTTTTAGGTAGGAATACAGTAGATCTTCACCTCTTGTTAGGTAACTTAATAAAAGTATAAAGGTAGTATATAGTAGGTAGGATACTGTGTGCCACGAAGTGACTTATGGCGTTTTTCCACTGTAGCACGGTTTAGCACTTTTTTTTTCCGCTTTTCCACTGTAGCACAGTTTAGCACTTTTTTTTTTTGCTCTTCCAATAGGGGTAGTTTTTCACCTTTTTTCTGGCCCTCCAAAATTGAGGTTCTTACCGGGCCAACAACCGGGCTGAATATGCTAAACTAGTGACGTAAATACTCTCGACTGGAAGAATGTCTAGACGCCGGGTTATAACTGTTATTAATTGACGACTAAAGGGGGTTTTTATTTTTCAAGGGAAAACGTCAAAATAAAATGTGAACGTACACACATTACACGCGAAAAGGTGACGTCTGGATCGTGCGCGAATCATGCCATACCACTCCGAAACCATCTGGCCGAGTGAAATACGACGCAAAGGTAAATGTCAAATCCTTTGACCCCATCATTGCAATATTGCGTCAAGCCGGCCCGCCTCGCTGCGACGTATTTTTGACGGCACTGCAAATAGAAGTTACGCTTGTGTTTTGGGTATTGGTAGTCGGGCAATCGACATCGTGAGTCTCGAGTGTCGAGGAGTATAGACAGTCTTTGATCTCCTTTCAAATTTGTTCATGTTTGGTGTCCTGACGAGACCAAAGTTACCGCTTATGTCAGCGACGCAAAATAAATACAGACATCCGGGCAACCAAAACTCACACCTGCGCTCGTATATTTTGCAATCGAATTCGGCTAGAGGTAAGTCTTTGTGCGCTAATATTTTCCAAAAAAGCGGACCGCGCAGACAGACGTCTGGTCATAGTCATCAACAGAATGAAAGCCGGTAGTAAAACCTTTGCACATAATGTAATTCTTAGTGCGCATTTTATACAAAGTAAAAACAACATCAAGATCGGGGGGAACGGTCGCTAATGATAGAC